GATGGAATAGTTCAAATAGTCTTGTAATTTCTTTCCTAAATCTTCGTTAACATGCACAAAGAAATGCATTCTTTTTCGTTAGATGATGAAATAGTCTTGTTCTTTTTTCCCAAATCTTCGTCACCATATTGAGTATGAGACATCCGATTTAAAAATCACAAGCAATTTTATAAACGTGTAACTTCTCTAGAGGAACAAACACAAATGCATACTTATTTCTCGGGTTTAATTTCTTATTTGCACCTCACAAATTTATCAATATCTTCATAGAGTTTAGAATATAAAATAAAAACAGTTGAAGTGACATAAGTAATTAACTCATCCCTCGTTAATTGAACCTTTTCCGAATCATTATTACTCAGTAAAATATTTATGTCATAAAAAGTTTAAAGTTTTGCATTTTCTTGTTCTTTCCTTTCCCCCCAGATGTCTTCCTTTGCATGTATATATAAACCTCTGTAATCCCGGTTTTGGACCTCTTCAACACACCCTCTTGTTTTGTGTTTTTTCTCTCTATCCAAACAGAGGAGAAAGAAAGTGATTGATCAACAATGGTGAAGTTCTCGAAGGAGCTAGAAGCACAGCTGATACCAGAATGGAAAGACGCCTTCGTCAACTACTGGCAGCTGAAAAAGCACATTAAGAAGATCAAACTCTACAGAAAACATCGACGGTCGCCCCACGACGGTGACTTCCGCCGCTCCATTCTCGACTCCGTTTGCTTCGTTGCCCAGCGTTTCTCTGGCAAGTACCGCAGCGCAGAAAACAACACCGAAATCATTCAGGTATATTGAAAACGAAAACGGTTCCCTACAGTGAAGTCAGTCTCATTTTCAGGTAAAAGTTTCGGGGTTTTTTTTTTTTTTTTGGTGATACTGTTCTCTGGTAACAAAAAGCGATTCCCGATGATTCGGGTTCTCTTGAATTCTGTTTCCCGTCGTTTCTGTTTTCTATTTCTGAATTCCCACCGTTGATTCAATCGGCCCTACCTAGGTCCCATGATCTGATTTAGTAATACCCTGTAACTTCCCGAGTGAAAGTTCCTATTTTTTCCTTCTTTTTCTCGGAAAATCTCTGATATTCCATCATACTCATTAATTCCCGAGCAAACGTTTTAATTTTTAGTAAATTTTCTTGGAAAATTTCCCATCTGGAAAGTGGAAGCTCTGACATTACTGGTTAGAGTTAGCCATAATGTTGGATGTAATCTGGAAAGATGGTAAAGTTTGCTTTACCATTCTTTTGAGCTTTTCTCATTTGCTTAAAGAAAGCAGATGAAACCATTTTTTTTTTTTTTTTAGGATTTTGTTTTTGAACATTATTGGTTAGAGTTAGCCATAATGTCACGAAATCATCGTGTGTAAAGGGCAAGAAAAAAGGTATCAAACAAAAACCTCCAAAAAAATCAGGGAAAAAGACCTTCATTATTGATCTTTTGGGTTGTTTTTCAGGTGAGGAGGAAAAGCACGGTGGAAGGTGATAATGAAGTTTACCAGACTGAACTCGCTCAGTTGTTCTCTGAAGAAGATGAGGTTCACATAATTATCACCTTTTTTTTAATCTTATTTTATTTATGTATTTATTTTTGGAGAATTTTGCTTGAAAATGATGAGATGAAAATGGGTTTTTCTTTTTTTAAACATTTTTTTTGGGGTTTTGGATTTTAGGTGATAGTGTTTTTTGAGAGACTGGATGAAGAGTTGAACGAGGTGAATCGATTTTACAAGGCCAAAGAGGTTGAGTTTATCGAGAAAGGGGAGATTCTTAACAAGCAGTTGCAGATACTGGTGGAGCTGAAGCAGATTCTCCTTGACCGGCGGCAGAAGAACCCGTGTGCGGTGGCTGTTTCGCGTTCGCGGTCATCCTCTCATAACTCTGACTTCTCAGGTGAGTTCTCTAACTGTTTGATTTTATGTCGCAATGAATTGATAAAGGGTGAGACTTGCAATTTGTACACGATGATGAAAGGTGTTTATCTTATTAATATGGAATATAGGGCAAAAAAGTAATTTTATGTGGGAACATACTCGTGTTTGGCCGTGCATGCTGTGTTTGTTTGATTTTAATACGTCCAAAAAAAAAAAGAATTATATAGTTTTTTTTTAACAAATTGCACTTCTACCTCCGGCTCAATAGCGTTATGTCACATATAAGTGTATTTTTCATACTTAAAGTAATGGTTCGAATCCGATCCTTGTAAATTTGTTAAAAAAAAATAAAACAGAATTATATAATTTAGGCTGCACAAGGCCGCTTTTCGAATTGGACCTGTTCTATATAACATGATTGGGAGTGTCCCTGTGCAATCTGGAATACAAAACAGGCGACTCTTAACCCCTATATTGGACAAATCATGTATATTTCTGTTCTTGTCCAACTGTGATTTCAAATTCATATTAATTTGTCTAATCCAATTTGTTGTCATGTAGCTTCTTGATAGAATCTCAATTGGACCTGTTCTATGTAACATGATTGAATTTCTTTTTCTATTATGAAAGTCTCATGTTTGAATTCTTAAGTCTACTAATTAATTGGATACTGGATAAAAGTATAAAAGAATAAAAAATGGGAGTATCATTTTCTGGTTTCATATATTGGGCACTTTTTTCAGTTTTGCATTATCTGGACAGTGGTGGATGGCAGTCCATGTCACAATGTCAGTGAAAGTTGCATGGAAACTTTGAGACTTTTTTAGAGTAGGTAACCAAAATGAGTGACGTGTAAGAAATGAACAAAGATAAATGCCTGCTTTTTCAGTTTCTTTTCTGTCAGGGTCCACTGAAATCTTTTTCCAGAAAGGGGAAGAACTCATTAGTTTGATTAAATTGAATTCTTTGTCAAGCATTCAAGCTTATATTAGCATTCGAGAATTCAAATTGAACTCATTAGTCGAGGGAAGCTTAAATCATGCAGCTCACGAGTAGCTCACAAGCTGCTCGGTTCATTTATGGCCCTACCTGTCTAACGGATTTTATTTTCTCCTAGCTTTCTCATGTCAACAATACACCTGTCCTGGATGGTGAAAGTTACTTGCAAAATTAGTTCTCTAATCTTTAAACACTTTCTTTTCCTTTCCAGGATGATCTTTTTGAAGAAGATAGAAACAAAATTTCAATGCTTAATTTTGAATTTATTGGTTAATACAGTTACTCAGATACTGCTCTCTTCATATTAGCCGAAAAGGAAATGAGGTTCTCAAGCTGTAATAAATTATTAAATTAAACAAATGAAAGAGTTTTCTGGGTAATCTGCAGCCTCCAATATCCATAAGTTCTTGTTGTTCTTACTTTTGTAGCCATTAATGCAGAGAGTTCCACTGAACTGAATGACAGTTCCCTCGAGATCTCATCACAAACAGATGAGGTGATTGCAACACTGGAGAAGAACGGTGTGAATTTCATCGATGCTGCAACCAGGGCCAAGACAAAGAAAGGGAAGCCAAAGTTGGCTATTAGGATTGACATCCCAGCTACCACGCCGATGCGAACCATCACAGCCATCACGTCAATGCTCTGGGAAGATCTAGTGAACAAACCCAAGAAGGAAGGAGCAGGAGAGTTCATTAACAGAAAGAAAATTGAATGTGCTGAAAAGATGATTAGATGTGCCTTTGTTGAGCTCTATAGAGGCCTTGGCCTTCTAAAAACATACAGGTTTTTATTTTTATTTTTTATTTCCTACTTGTAATTGTCTCTTAGATTATTGCATAACTTAAGAATAAAGAATGACCTGCAAGGCAGAAATATTTATTAAGGATTGATGATGTTGATGGTTATGTCTTAGCTGTCACTAAAAGAAACTCTGAGGGCTTAATTTCTTTCACATAGCATTTCTCTTGTTTATTGGAATTAGAAGGTCAATTACACAAGACATAAGAGAGAAAATTAGGTTCTTTTTTATTTCAAGATTTCAAACCAAAGTCTAAAGTTTTCTAAATTTTGATAAGGTCAATCAGGAGAGTCTGAATTTTCCCTTTAGGGTATGTTTGGTTTGAGAGAAACAGAGGGGAGGGGAGGGAAAAGGTTATTTCAAATCAAACATACCCTTAAACTTAAACAATATGGATGATTTCCTTGAATAAATTTGCTAATATATTTTACTTTAGAAGTTACAATTAAAGTTCGATTTAAGTCAAATAGTTTGCATAAGTTGCTCAAGTTTTTCATTTACTACATAAATATTGAATTTGGTTACTTGTTGTGGGGCCTTTTTCTAGTTGCAGAGAAGCTGTTTTTTGTGAATTTGAATGGAGTCTAATATCTCAAACATTTTTGGCAGTTCACTCAATATGGTAGCTTTTGTGAAGATACTTAAGAAGTTTGATAAGGTAAGGTGGTACCATATCAGCCTCAATACATGTGACAAGGCATAAGGAAAAATGAAAAATGTGATCTTTGGAGTTTTTTTGTTTTTCTAGTGGCTTATGCTTTTGCCTGTAAAGGTTTTGCTCTAATCTTTCATTTTAGGTCATTTTAAGTGAAACTATCAACAACTCTGCATACTAACAAGAGCTTGGTCGAGTTGGTATCCACTAACCTAAAAACCTTGATCTAGGGTCAAGGTTAGGATTTAGATCTCTGCAATGTCAAGCAACTAACCCTCCGGTTTATAAAAAAGATAACAACCGTGCATATCTCTACAAAATGGAAAAGAAACTGAACAGTGAATGTTTTTGTCAGTTTGCATTATAGGTTGGGTAGTATTTTCTCTTAAATTTTCTTAGAAATGCATATAAATTCATAGGATAAAGATCATATAATGTCTTCTTATTTGATCACATAAATGTAAAAGGTTTGAATTTATAATCTGCAAGATCATGATTAATGATGATGACTCTTGAATTTTCTGATTTGGAAAAAAATTTAGAATGGAATGAATTTCAGCTACTGTATGATAAATTATTTGATGCATTTGTTATGAGATTTTAATTCATGTCTGTGATGCAAATATCCTTTGGAATTTCACCTTCTGTACATTGAGTTAGTTTGTTTCTGCATGAACAGGTCTCAAACCAGCAGGCATCATCAAGTTATTTAAAAGCAGTAAAAAGATCCCTCTTCATTAGCTCTGATAAGGTAAGTGAATAACTTGCCCTGTATGGTTACTTTGAAAAAGAGTACTGATAATTATATACAAACATTTCTTTGTCATTGTTGAATGAGATTAATGTATTTGCAATAATTATGGTGTAATATAATATTTGGTTTGGTAAGGTTGTTAGTCTCATGGATGAAGTGGAGTCTATTTTCACAAAGCGCTTTGCCAAGGACGACAGGAAAAAGGCAATGAAGTTTTTAAGACCACGACAGCAGAAAGACTCTCACATGGTTACCTTTTTTGTTGGTAACCTCTCTTTCTCTCTAATTCACTGCTGCATTTTACTTTATGGTAATTCTTGGTTGTGTAAAGAATTAAGAATAATTAAAGTCACAAAAAAGTGCCTTTCAAAAAAAAAAGTCACAAAAAAGTCTAATTTGAGCACATTTATACAACAGATGACGTTTAAAGGCCGGACGTCTAACTCCAAGCACCCATATATATTGCAATTGGTCCAATAACTAATAAAATAACAGTACTCCTAATGATATGGAATCACTGCTTTTCTGTGAAAACATCTTGTGATTAGGTTATTGTTCGAGAAACTTCTCCTTGCTTCTGATTCACTAATCAAGTTCCTCTTTATTGCTATTGTTTGTTGCAGGCTTGTTTACTGGTTGTTTTGTATCACTGTTTAGTGTTTATGTTATGCTAGCCCACTTTTCAGGCGCATTCTCCCCTAGCTCAGACACTGCTTACATGGAAACTGTCTACCCTGTTTTCAGGTACTTACATCACATTCTCCTCAGTAAACATTTCAAATATAACTGAGTTGAGATAGAATAACAAGCTTTCTACATAATGCAGCATTTTAAAATGAGGTGAAAAGGCTTAAAAATTCAATATCCTAAATCTTAAAGCATCAAATATCAAAATAAGTTGTAATAAGTAATTGATGATAAAATATATACTTAATTGATAAATTGAAATAAATTCCTCAAATTTTTGCAGTGTGTTTGCATTGTTAAGCTTGCACTTGTTCATGTATGGGTGCAATTTGTTAATGTGGAGGAGTACGAGAATCAATTATAACTTCATTTTTGAGTTTCAACCAAGCACAGCACTGAGATACAGAGACGCATTTCTAATTTGTACAACTTTCATGACTGCTGTGGTTGGAGCTATGGTCATCCACCTCCTCTTAAGGGCCGGTGGTTTTTCACCCAGCCATGTTGACACTATCCCTGGAATGCTCCTTCTGGTTAGTATAAGTTCTTCACTGTTCATCTTAATCCCTTACCATCCTCATTATCTTGGTACTGACATAGAACAACTATGTATTGATTATCAATTCCAATGTCAGATTTTCATTGCTTTGCTCCTATGCCCTTTTGACATCTTGTATCGTCCAACTCGCTATTGCTTCCTCCATGTCATGCGCAAGATAGTGTGGTCTCCATTTTATAAGGTATGTACTATGAAGGCATATTTTCTTCAATTTTAGAATCTGATTTCATATGATAGTAATTCGAGCATTGTGACTAAAGTAATTTGTTGCTTGCCATACCATGTATACAGGTTTTGTTGGTAGACTTTTTCATGGCTGATCAGCTTACTAGTCAGGTAATCACTCCATGAAAAGCTTTGATGCCAAAATTTAGAATTAAAAGCATTGACAATTTTAGGTCAAGATGCCTATTTTTCTTCATTGTACTAAAATTCTTTATGTTTCATTCTCCTCTGACTAAGTAGCTTCATTTATGGTCGGTCATTATTTCTTTTCTTATTCACAGATTCCATTGTTAAGGTACTTGGAATCCACAGCCTGTTATTTTCTTGCTAGAAGTTTCAAAACACACCATTATGAAACATGCAGAAAGGGAAAACTCTTCAGAGAGCTTGCTTATGTGATATCGTTTTCACCATATTATTGGCGTGCAATGCAGGTAATAATACTCTGTGGACCCCTTAGTAATAATTACCTCCCATTTGAATTTCATTATCAGTTAACATGTTGCAGCATCTTTTCTTAGTTTCCTTTACCACCAAGCAATGCAAGTACCTGTTTATTTTGTTAAACCAACAACTTTCTGTTTATTGTAATTGCAAGTGTGCAAGAAGATGGATTGATGAATATGACACTGCCCACTTAGCTAATATGGGGAAATATGTCTCAGCCATGGTGGCAGCTGGCGCCAGGTTAACATATGCTAATCAGCCAAGCAACCTCTGGTTTGGTATAGCCTTGGTGACTTCTGTTGCGGCTATAACATATCAGTTATACTGGGATTTTGTCAGGGACTGGGGACTTTTAAACCGGAGTTCCAAAAATCCATGGCTCAGAGATGATCTGATTCTAAACAAGAAAAGAATGTACTACCTGTCTATTGTGAGTTGTTCCTCGCCAACTACACTTTGTTCATGACTTGTCCATATATTTTTCAAGAGTGAGTTCTGAACCAAGTAAGAAACTGAATTGCAGGCCTTGAATATTGTTCTCAGAATTGCTACGGTGGAAACTATGATGAAGTTCCATGTTAACCAGGTTGAGTCTAATTTGCTAGACTTTTTCTTAGCTTCATTGGAGGTTATCCGAAGAGGTCATTGGAATTTTTACAGGTATTTTCTGTCCCCCATTTGATCTATCGTTTTGTTTTTGTTAGGCCTTACCTTTTGGTATTGGAAAAATTCTTTTACTGAATAGGTTGGAGAATGAACATCTAAACAATGTTGGCAAGTTTAGGGCAGTAAAGGCTGTTCCTTTGCCATTCCGGGAGACAGATTCTGATGGCTGGGATATAATCTCATAATCTGTACAGAAGGAGAATGTCGCTGACAAGCTTACATAAGGGCGTGTGAGATTTTCTGCTATCATCCCTAAATTCATCCAATACGCCAATATTCTCTAAAAGCTTTGTGGAAGAAACCACTCATGCTGCTGAACAGTCATAGACCCCAATTCAAATAATCAAGAAAGCGGCATCAAGTGGCAGCACTGATCCTCTTTGTTAATAAGGCATTCCATATTGGATTCGCCAATATCCTTTTAAATGAATCTCATGCTTCATTTTGGATTGTGAACTTCTACATTATCTTCCCAAGATTGAAAATTGAAGTGCATATTACTCATTCTCTAAAGGAAGGAAAACTCAAGTGTTCAATTGAAATGAAGCAATTGCAATGTTTCTTGTCAATTTAAGACAGAAGAGTATCTTGTGTTCTGTTACATCAAGTTGTCTGAAAATGAAATGATCAACTTTTATGTACCTTCAATACCCAAAAACATAGTGAAATATTTTAAACGAAACATATAAAGAATAAGGTTGAAGGGCACTTCTTCACAAAATAGTTAGATTTCTAGTTTCCATGCTCTTCCACGGGTTCTGCCGCTCTGCTGCCACAACATCCAGGAACATCAGGTGGGTATTTGTGTTTGTATATGTTTATGTATAAATCATACCTAAATTTGGGTATTGCTCTTGCTGTATACATTTTTATTGCATTTCCTAGTTGATGTTGAAAATAGGGGATTAGGGTTTATACCCAGAAAGGGAAATCGACCACCTGACTCAAGATACATTCCCTGAACAAAACGAGGTAAAAAAATGTTATCACTTGGCAGATTCTGTACTGAATTATTGTTCTCCTGTGGGTTGCTGCAGTTTCCTCTGATTTTATGTTTCTTAGGGGTAATTTTATGCCATAATAATGCTTCTAGTGCTGTTATCCTATATCCCAACTTTGCATACACCGATGAAGAAGAGAACACCAAACTAAAAGATAAAAGACAAACATTTGGATGAGGGCGAACCCCTGACATTGAAGGTTGTCCCCCATCAAATAGTTCCTCAGTTGCAGTGCTGTGTAGCCAGACTGCAAAACAAGAACTCATATATATTTCAAATACAAATATCTAATTGGTTTTTCTTTTATAAAATGGCTGTTGTCACCTAGGAGTTCCCTTATGTTTCTGCTAAATGCATTTTGTAACTCATCAGCCTTATTTTCTGTCTGCAATTAATCCAAGCTTCATAGCTTAGCCTTGCAAAGAATTGCAAGCTTCGCTAGTTCACTGTATTTTTTAAATTCTTCATTCTTATTCAATGCTATTTTCCTCTTAAAGACTCTGCGATTCTCTTTGAGAGACAGTAAGCAGTTGATTGGATTGTGATCATGGGATTGACACCAACAGCACTTGGCAAAACACTTGCATCACAAACAAATAGCCCTTCTGCTTCCCAACTCTCCCCATTCTCATCAACTGCGCCTTCTTTTTCATTAATCCCCATCCTGCAGCTCCCCATCTGATGAGCGCTGGTATAGATTACCCAGTTCTCATCATGGGACATTGGGCCTCCAACTGCAGAGACATTGTCCAGAAACTCCTCAAGTTGTTTTCCATCTATCCCTTTGCATTTAATTCCCTGACCGTCACTGCGATGGGTACCCACCTCAACAGCTCCAGCTGCCACCAAAATCCTCAATGCCTGCCTCATGCCAGCCTCAATATTTTCTTTGTCTGCTGCATCTAATTTGTAGGTTACCCTTCCCTCTGACCTAACTTCACCTGATCCCCTATCCTTTATAATCGTTATCATATGAGCAGTTCTTGCATATTTTAGCATCCTCCTTTTTGTGTCTAGTGCAGATGTCCACGGGCAAATTGCAGAAAACTGGGCTGGTCCTAATGCAGGAGTTTCGATGATAGCTTTCACATCTAAGTTCTTAGATAAAACTTTATGGACAGATGTGATTATTCCACCGTCATAGGATTTTCCCTTCAGCTCTGAATTTGAATCTGGAAAGTACCCCCAAGTCATTAGGACGGGGTGGAGATGAAGGTTTTTACCGATGTTCTGATTCTTCAACCCACTAGACTTCATTAAAGGGGGTGTCTGAAGAGCTCCACATGCTGAGATTGTTACTTTGGCTTCAATTTGCAGTTTATGCGTGACATTGTTGTTTAAAACTTTTGCAACCACTCCCAAGCATTTCTTTTTCCTTGTTCTGCCTTTTTTGTTCGTTTCTAACATGAATCTCTCTGCCTTGCATCCTGTTATGATCACTGCACCATGATCCACGGCATCTACTAGCCAGGTGCAATCAGTCCCTTTTTTGTCTCCTCTTCTACAGCCAAAACCACAAGATCCACAGTAATGACTCTCTGAAGAATTCCGTGGCACTCTTTCAACTTCAAGACCAAGATTTTCACATCCTTTCCTGAGGACCTGATTCTGAAATCCTTCCTCTGCACAATTTTCTGTGACGCCAATTCTTTCACAAACAATGTCCATGGCCAAATCATATTCCGGGCTCCCAAAAATGGAGATTTTGCAGTCCTCTGCCCATTCTTGAAGCACAGACTTTGGTGTTTTGATGCATGCTGACCAGTTGACAGCTGAGCCACCACCAACCGTTGAGCCTGCCAGTATCATCATCTTCCCATCATAACTTGGAAGGATACCTCCTGCTTCATATAGTTGATCCATTGAGGGGCCTTCAAATAGAGAGTAATCTGCAGGAGCAAAATAGCCCCCTTTCTCAAGGACAATGACCTTCTGGCCAGAGCGAGCCAAAACGGCAGCTGCTACACCTCCACCACAACCAGAGCCCACAATTACAGCATCACATTTGATTTTGTAGAGGTTCTGTACAGGATCCTGTGTAACTTCAAGGCCTTTCTGAGTCAATGAATGGAGAAGGGTGGAGTCATTTCCATGCATAGTTTCTATTATTCCTTTCTGAAGAGGCCTCCCCTTCGATACTTGGCTCTCATCACAGTCTACCTGATATCCAATGGCTTCCCATGCCAGATTATCACCGTCTTCCCCAAACTGTGTATCAAATTATGCTTTGAGAATTAGAATTCTAGTATTAGTTTTTCAATTCCATCTGATGTGTTATGAATATCTCATTAGGATAAGAAAACTTCAATTCTTTATTATCAGCTTCTTTAGTGTCTGCTTATATTTCTTCGGTGCAGACAAGACTTCCACCTCTACCTTGCTCCTCTTCATGTCACAAAGTAGAAGAGAAATCAGGACAGAGGAGTGTTGTTTAACAAGGAGAAGAAAAGGTACATACCCTCTTCAGTTGCACCACTTCCATTATTTTAACTATTATTATTACGATCACTATCATCTACCAAACTCAGAAGCAGTTTATATTTAAAATAGTAGTCGTCTTTGACTAAACTAGATTGAACACTTTTGCAAGAGATTTAACAAAATATTGGAAAGCTCCTAAGATTTACCTTGGTGATAAAATCCTATTAATTTATTTTCGTTTGATTAGTCTGAAGAAGTTTCCATTTGCTGTTTTTGGTGGTTTAGTATGGTTGAAAAGGATTGAATATTCATTAGTTTCTTATTAAACAGGAGAATTATGAAATGTTGAAGATGTACACTTTGATGATACACGTAGGTGATGTTTCAACCATAGCTACATTTTCTATCCTTTCTTGATGTTTTTGTTTATTTTTACTTCTTGACAGAGAATTTTACATCCAATGACTTTGTTTTGCTTTCTAGTCTTTGGCATGGACCATATGGGTGGATATTATACTCATGAAAGTCAAAAGAACTGGGTTTTTGGGAACTCAGATTAAGATTTCAATTTTGGAAGCAATTTTTATTCTTATCTAATAGACTCCTTAAATATGGAAACCATATGACACCAACTTCTATAAAAAGCACAATATTCTAAACATGGTTAGGTGTAGTAATGAAATTACCAACAAAA